CATTTTCCTCTTCAGCATAAGGCAGCATGACCTCTTCAAGTATTCTGATGTATTCAAACTGATCCATGATCCCTGGTATGCGATAAATAGGCCCAACACCTTAGTATGAGAAACATCCCCATATCATGATGCTTGCGCAACCATGCTTCACTGTCTTCACAGTGTACTGTGGCTTGAATTCAGTGTTTGGGGGTCGTCTGACAAACTGTCTCCGGCCACTAGACCCAAAAAGAACAATCTTACTTTCATCAGTCCACAAAATGTTGCGCCATTTCTCTTTAGGCCAGTCAATGTGCTCTTTGGCAAATTGTAACCTCTTCAGCAAATCTTTTTTTCAACAGTGGGACTTTGCGGGGGCTTCTTGCAGATAGCTTGGCTTCACATAGGCGTCTTCTAATTGTAACAGTACTCACTGGTAACTTTAGACCTGCTTTGATCTTCCTGGAGCCGATTGTTGGCTGAGTCCTTGCCATTTTGGCTATTCTTCTATCCATTCGAATGGTAGTTTTTCGCTTTCTTCCACATCTTTTAGGTTTTGGTTGCCATTTTAAAGCATTTGCGATCATTTTAACTGAGCAGCCTATCATTTTCTGCACTTTATATGTTTTCCCCTCTCTCAATCAACTTTTTAATCAAGGTACGCTGTTCTTCTGAACAATGTCTGGAACGACCCATTTTCCTCAGAATTTCAGAGAGAAATGCACTGTAACCAGCATGTACAACATTTGCTGCCTTCCTTCCTTAAATAAGGGCAATAATTGCCACCTGTTTTCAAAGAATGAATGACCTCACTAATAGAACTCCACACTGCTATTATTTTGAACATGCCCCTTTCAATTAGTGTTTCAATTACACAGAATCAGCAGCATGCATGTCATGACTGTTGGGTCTGTTGGATTTCTATTACTCTACTACACCTGCTAGTAAATTATTTGCCATGTAGAAATATCATTTCTACCAAAAACAGTGATTGATCAGGTTAGTGATGTCTGACTGCTATTATTTTGAACACAACTGTATATATATAAAAACATTTTTTTTCTTTATTTATGTAAACATTATAAATAATTTTTTTTCCTTTTTTTTTTTAACAAGTGATCACATAATCTCTGTTCTCAACTGCACAAGGGGCTTAGAGATCTGGGGGTGGAGAAACGGCAGTACATGGATCTTCCCAGTGAACGGTTGTTACAGGGGAGGGCGTGTCAGTACAAGTCTGATCACTGGAGAACAAGTAGGCTGTGCTACCAGCACAGTTAGAAAACTGACCCTGCTGAGATGGATGTGCTTTTATGCCTAGGGTAGGCACTTTGAAATAAGAAAGCAGGAGGACTGGCAGGAACACAAGATATTTCACACAAAAGAAGCAATACAAAGAGATCAGGATACTTTTTAAGAGACAGACACATATCAGGAATATAAAATGTTGGGGTAACATATTCTTTTAATACAGTATAAATCTGAAAAATGTACTGTTTTAGTAAATATACCCTACTGCATTGTAGGATACTCTAGACCAGCAATGGGCAAACTACGGCCCGCGGGCCGTATACGGCCCGGCGGACCTTTTAATCCGGCCCGCGGAGCTAGGCTCCCGCTAGGCTCCTCTCACAGTCCGCCCTGAAGACCGGTGTAGCATGAAAACCTGTCTCCTATGAGGATCTGTCCCCCTCAACGTATCTGCGCATGTGCCGGAGATCGCCGATCGGCTGCTAATGCCTGAAACTGGCACATGCGCAGATACGTCGAGGGGGACAGATCCTCATAGGAGACAGGTTTTTCATGCTACACCAGAACGGCGCAGGAACACGGCGAGAGGAACGCGCGGAGCAAAGGTAAGTGAATTGACACAGGGGGGACATGGGGACTTAATATGGGGAATGAATTACTATAGGGGGAATGAATTACTATGGGGGATGAATTACTATATGGGAGATGAATTACTATATGGGGGATGAATTACTATATGGGGGATGAATTACTATAGGGGGGATGAATTGTTTGGTATACATTGACTATAGGGGGGATGAATTACTATGGGGGATGAATTACTATGGGGGATGAATTACTATATGGGGGATGAATTACTATATGGGGGATGAATTACTATATATGGGGGATTAATTACTATGGTTACTATGATGGGGAATATTACTATACTTACTATGGATGACACATACACATCATTCATCTACTATTGGTCCGGCCCCCGGGTCCAATATATGAACCCATTGCGGCCCTCAAGTCAAAAAGTTTGCCCACCCCTGCTCTAGACCTTGATGATATTTCCAAATCGTATGTCTGTCACAACAGGTGAGTAGACATTGGTATTTATTACACTGCAAAAACTGGGGTTTTGATTTACTAGAGCAGAAAAGAATATTCACGTAGCATGGTGAATAGTTTACTTAATCCAAAATTCTCAGTTAGTTTATGGGAAAAAAAGAAGCTGTGATTTCCTGAACCATTTGAAAGCAATAGTCCTGTGTTTCTCCCCATACATGACTCAAGATTATGACAGCTTTCATCTTATTCACTAAGCTAAGTGAGCACTCACTTTGCTAAGTGGCTTCCTTCTTCTCCTTTAGTAAGCCATATTGTTCATAGCTGACTCCCTATCCTACACTTGATCTTAGCCAAAAGGCCGAGAAGCGATCTGACTCCCTATCCAATCCACTAAAGCCCATTATGGTCGCTCAATGGGATCATTTTAGTCAAAGAAGTAGGGTCTGTTCACTTTGCAAAATCTTGATTTTTTAGTAAATCAACAGCTTGAAATAGCCACTAACGTATAATGATAAGCAGCATACAAAGTAACACATTTTATGTGATGAGCCCACTTCCATCTTGTGTGTGTGTATGTATATATATATATATATAATATATATATATATATATATATATATATATACACACACATACACATACATACATATATACACACACACACACACAATACATATATATATATATACATATATATATATATATATATATATATATATATATATATATATATATATATACACACACACATATATACATATATACATACATACATACACACACACACACAGTGCCTTGAAAAAATATTCATACCCCTTTCAATATTCCACATTTTGTGATATTACAACCAAAACCGTAAATGTATTTTATTGGGATTTTATGTGATAGACCAACACAAAGTGGCACATAATTGTGAAATGGAAGGAAGATGAGAAACGGTTTTCCAAATTTTTTACAAATAAATATGTGAAAAGTGTGGCGTGCATTTGTATTCAGCACCCCTGAGTCAATACTTTGTAGAACCACCTTTTGCTGCAATTACAGCTGCAAGTCTTTTTCAGTATGGCTCTACCAGCTTTGTTATAACCAAAACAGTAAATGTATTTTATTGGGATTTTATGTGATAGACCAACACAAAGTGGCACATAATTGTGAAGTGGAAGGAGAACGATAAATGAGCCCATGGTAACTCTGGAGGAGCTGCAGAGATCCACAGCTCAGGTGGGAGAATCTCTCCACAGGACAACTATTAGTTGTGCTCTCCACAAATCTGGCCTTTATGGAAGAGTGGCAAGAAGAAAGCCATTGTTGAAAGAAAGCCATAAGAAGTCTCATTTACAGTTTGTGAGAAGTCATGTGGGGGGACACAACAAACATGTGGAAGAAGGTGCTCTGGTTAGATGAACTTTTTGGCCTAAAAGCAAAACGCTATGTGTGTGGCAGAAAGCTAACACTGCACATCACCTTGAGCACACCATCCCCACCATAAAACATGGTGGTGGAAGCATCATGTTGTGGAGATGCTTTTCTTCACCAGGGACAGGGAAGCTGATCAGAGTTGATGGGAAGATGGATGGAGCCAAATACAGGGCAATCTTAATAGAAAACCTGTTAAGAGTCTGCAAAAGACTTGAGACTGGGGCAGAGGTTCACCTTCCAGCAGGACAACGACCCTAAACATACAGCCAGCTACAATGGAATGGTTTAGATCAAAGTATATTCATGTGTTATAATGGCCCAGTCAAAGTCCAGACCTAAATCCAATTGAGAATCTATGGCAAGACTTGAAAATTGCTGTTCACAGACGCTCTCCAACCAATCAGGCAGAGCTTGAGCTACTTTTGTAAAAAAGAACTGGCAAACATTTTACTCTTTAGATGTGCAAAGCTGGCAGAGACATCCCCAAAAAGACTTGCAGCTGTAGTCGCAGTGAAAGGTGTTTCTACAAAGTATTGACTTAGGGGGCTGAATATAAATGCACATCACACTTTTCACATATTTATTTGTAAAAAATTAAAAAACCATTTATCATTTTCCTTCCACTTCACAATTATGTGCCACTTTGTGTTGGTCTATCACATAAAATCCCAATAAAATACATTTATGTATTTGGCTGTAACATGACAAAATGAGGAAAATTTCAAGGGGTATGAATACTTTTTCAAGGCACTGTATATATGTACAAGAATACACACACACACACATATATGTATATACAAGAAGTATACACTGTATATACCGCTATTATCTACATATATAATTTAGGTTCAGTGGCTCCAAAACTAACAGAAACACAAATATGGCTTGTAAACCAACTTCCAAGAGTGAGCCGCCACCAACACACGGCAGCAGTGACTAAAAAAAAAAAAATTTGGAATACAACGCTAATTTATCACATAGGGAAAACAATAGGTTCTATTCTGTGTTTAAACAACCACAATATTTTCTTGAGGGGAACTGAGGCATCATGAGCGATGTTATCCCTAAGGGAAAAGAACAACTGTACTGGAAATATTTCTTCCCCACTTTCATGACTGGATTATGTTTTAACAGTTTTACCACAACAAAGGATTTAATTGAAAAGCAAGTTCGGTGCCAGATAAGGCCACATGCAATATTATTTTAATGAGCCTTGAAGAGAACCAACAATTTTAGATCAGAGGTACAGTAGAACGGATGAAAAAAAAAAAAAACTTTTTGAAGAAATGACTTACTTGTTTCTCAAAAGCAGTCGGCACAAGCCGCCGTAATTCAGACAGGCTGTTATTGATACGATCTCGCCGGCGTTTTTCTATAATCTGTTAGAAAAAAAAAAAACAATGTGTGACAAACCAACAAGAGAGCAACCTTAACTCATTACATGTTTATAGCAGGAAGGTTCTTGAAGTTTCCATGCAAATTTCAAACATGCAATAATTTGGAGTCCTAATTAAGAAGCTTCAAGAAGAAAACGGTTTAATAAAGAATTCTTAAAGCACATTTAAAATTGTATTTCGCAAGAAGACTAAAAATAAGTCAAAAAGCCCATTCTGATTAAAAAAACTAGAGCAAAGAAACTTTCAGAATATGTTTGTAGCAACCAATAGGATGCGTATTTTTATGTCCTTCCTAGCATTGAAATCATGACAGCTGGAATGTGATTATATATAATGAGAAACACAGATATTTATCTCCTATGTTTGGAAATAATTAATCAAGCCTTCCCTTTAATGCATATGCGTTAGTATGTTTTACAATGATGTATATGTTCCATTGTTTTCCATAGCAAACTTTTATGATTTAATGAAAGGAATGCATAAAGGTAAAAAAATGTATTGAGCTTGGAACCACTTTAAAGTAGACCTGAATTCAAAAAGTGAAGATTTGATATCATTAAGGAACATCTAGAAATGTTATTTGTGCCTTAGCAATAATGTGAAAAATGTACCACTTTGTCTTGGATAGAAGAGATAGAAGTGGACTTTCTTATACTTTATGTGACTGTGTCCTGATACTCCTGTTCTGTAGGTGTATATTTGCAGTGTAAGATCACCTAAGGCACCGATGTCCCTGACTGCTAGTCACAAGATTAGGAGTGAAGTTTGGTGATGTCACTGCTGTGTTCACATTTCTTTTGAGGATGTTCTGGAGAGAAACCTGTACCTGAGCACCTGAATTGCAAGGATATCCCTGCTTCTAATTAATTCTGTGGATCTGCTCTTCCTCTGCCTTTTTCGCTGCTTCTTGTATTTTACTTAATCAGTTATCAGATAACCAATCATTGGGGGCAAATCTAACATTATGGGTATGTTTTGCTTTTCAGCTCAGTGTCCACCTAGAACACTACTTGCAAAGAGTCTTTTGAGTTGATTTAATAAAGGAAAATGGGCTGTTCACTTTGCAAGGGAAGCTTCCCAGAAATTTGTGTCGCACGAGCAAGGAAAACAAAAACAGCATTTTTGCTTGCATATGATTGGGTGATGGAAGAAAGTAGAGCTCTCCTCATTCTCTAAGCTCTGGGGCAAATTCCCTTGCAAAGTGAACAGCCTATTTGCCTTTAATAAATCAGTCCTCCCTGTGTTTACGGAGGATAAGTAACATCCTTTCAAACAATTTGGGCAAAGGCTAAGTTCCCACTACTGTGTTTTCCCTGCAGCCTATTAATCTGAATGGCCTGCTGTACTTGCGGAAACGCAGGGAAAAGGTCCCTGTTCCTATTCTAAAATCGCAGCCACAGGGAACCGCATAGTGCTGTAAATTTCCCATCATGGGAAAGTGCCCTGTGGTTTCCAGTGCCTGGGTGTACCTTTAAGAATTAAACGCACCTCCATGCGTCTGCTAAATGCACCACATTTTTGCTGCGGGGTGCAGGAAATTGTGCAATTTACATGCAGTCCCGCACATGCATAGATGTAAACCCAGCCTTAGGCAGGCCATACATTATGTAACTTTTTTTTACTTCAACCACAGGTTGAAGAAGAGAAAATACCTTGATTCTCAACACAGTTAGGATTGAAGGGGGAATCCCCCCCGCAGTGCTATTGTATCCTGCCGGTGAGGAGCGCAGGGAGCCTTCCCCATTGCCAAAATACAATGATCACTGCTTGTGGGTGAAAAAAGACCTTGACAGGCTAGTGGTTCTAGAGTCAGTCGATAGATTGACTTCAGTACTACCAGCCTTGCCATAGATGGATCAAAATTCAGATGGTTCCTGCCAAACCGGCGTGATTTCAATTCATCAATGGCTGGCTTTAGTGTGTGAGAGCATCATATTGTGAGCTTCTTAATGGGACAAGGACTGAATCGTTCTATGTACTTTGTAATGCATTATGTAATGTTTTAATATACATTATAAGGTATTCTACCAAAAACCATGAGTTCAAACAGAAAATTTTCAAAGAATATCCAGCTCCACAAATAACACATGTAGTAAAAAAAATAAATACTAATTTGATTAAAAAAAAGGTAAAAACATGTAAGAGGTACATGCGCGGACTGCGATTATCTGATTAATGCCTTTCATAAAGGTAATATCGGGTATAGGAGCTGATATGTTATGTAAGCCAAATGGCTCAGATTAAAAAATCATAAATATATACATATATACAAACTAATGTTTGAACCAATATAAGTATTTGGCTTCAATGCACATGAACCATTGGTACTACTAAATACTTTAGTACTGATACTTTACTAATGATACCATTTATTTTTTATGTTATTACTCCAGTTCTTTATTTGTTCTTTTGTGTATGCCTTCCTGTCTTCTGTGTTTGAAACTTTTTTAAAGATATGTTGATGTATTTAAAAAAACAGGGGATTTGACTGGAGTCATTTTAGTAGCAATAATGCAAATCATTTTATTATAAAGTTAATTATTATTATTATATTTAAAAATATTTCTGCCTTTTTTTACTTGACTAAATTCTTTCAATTTATTGATAAATATTTCATATCTGTATAATTATACAGTATATATATGGAAAAACTAACAACACAGTAAATTAGTTCTTTCCAACTGATGTTTTATTCTAGTAGGTAAAGATCTGTCTTTGATAGAACTAAAAAAAAACCCTTAAAAATTACTACTTTTATTTAATGTGTATACATGTGAGAAAACATTTCCAGGGCACGTAGCCAACGTAACATCTATTGTTCCATTACAATTATATCACGTTCTGTACAGCCTTAACACACAACACCTACCAATGGTTAAGAACTCAATTCTATAGAGACCAGTATGCCTGAAAAAAGAAATGTCTGTGTTGCCCCACAGATACAGATTAGTATTAAACATGTAAGCTCTGTCTGTCATTCCAGTACATAGTTACTTACTCAACAGATAATCTGGGTATGTCTCCTTGTTAAATAGTTTTGGTAAATGTAAATGAGGCTGTACAAAGGTTGTACTTCATAACTGTGTGATTATAATTGTATAGTGTATGGCCATCTTAAGTAAAACCTAAAATGTCTTGTGCCAAGCCCAAGCTTTGAACCCCCCTCAAACCACAATCATAAAATATTTTAGGACCGTCTTTAGTCATGGATTCTGATTTTAGATAAAATATTTGAAACTATGAAATGTGATGGAAGGTCTGTTATTCTGCATAAACGTGAACGTCAATTAGAAGTTGCAAATCTACTTGGGCCCTATGATGTCATAGGCCCATTCACAGACTTTGTACAAGGATACAGGGCACAATGACACGAACATGACATGAATGCTGCTCATTAGCAAAAATTTCCCTCTGACATATAGGGGGAGATTTACTAAAACTGGAGAGTGCAAAATCTGGTGCAGCTCTGCAAAAAAGACAATCAGCTTCCAGGTTTCATTGTCAAAGCCTAATTGAACAAGCTGAAGTTAGAAGCTGATTGCCTACTATGCACAGCTGCACCAAATTCAGAGTGCACCACTTTTAGTAAATCCCCCCCTTAGTATGCACCAGGGGCGGACTGACCATTTGGAAACTCAGGCACTACCCGAGGGCCCGGGGTCAGTAGGGGGCCCCATGAGATGCCCCTGGTACCTTTTTCATAGGCTTTTTTGAGTTTGGGCAAGTACACAGGGGCCCCATGATCCCCTATTGCCCGGGGGCCCCATGAGTTGTCAGTCCGCCCCTGGTATGCACAGACAGACTGGTGCTTGCCTTTCCTTTATGGCATAACCACTGAATACATTTCCAAATTCTGAACTGACAGATCTTGCCAGGAGAAAAAGTTGAAGAACAAGTCATCAAAATCTGTAATTATCTGATATACAGTATAAAGGCAGAGGACAGCATAAAGAATGATTTGCAACTCGGAGCCTGGATCTAGACTATCCATTTCATCTAATGTTGGACATCACTGAATCACAGAAAAGTCTTTCAAAAAGTTGGAAAAACTCTGTTAAGGATAACGTAGCCTTTTTAGGATGGAAGTCCTTGTTAGGAGTACACATAAATTGCCTGATTCTCATCTGAGTGTCGCACTGGGCTGTCAGATTGGGATGAGATCTGGCTGTTTATGGCCAGCCCTACCCCTGTCATTTACAATGATAAATTGTAATAACACATAAAAATCAGCAATGTTAAACAAAATAAATAAAGCAGAGAATAAAGATATAGTGTAAAGTGCAATAACCCACAACAGTCAACATTATTTATTTTGGCTGCCGTCAGATCAGTGAACGATTTATTCTGATTTGTTTCTATTTTGTTACACTCTGAGGTTGATTTACTAAAACTGGTGCGTGCAAAATCTGGTGCAACTCTACATAGAAACCAATCAGCTTCCAGGTTTTATTGTCAAGGCTTAATTGAACAAGCTGACCTTAGAAGCTGATTGGCTACTGCTGCACCAGATTCTGTGTGCACCAGTTCTAGTAAATCAACCCCTATGACTCAATGCGGCCAATTTGCTAAAGAAGAGATTTCACTTTGCACAGAACATTTTCATTCACCACAGCAAACAAGTTAAATCCATGTTCACGTTAATCAGCCAATAGAAATCCCTTTTTTCCTCAATTTGCCTTGTACATGATTGGCTATTTAAAATGAACATACTTTCACATTATTCTCCAAGCTAAGTGAATATTCTCTACTTCCTTAGTAAATCAGCTCCATTGCCATCAGGAGTTGAATTAGGAATTTCCATCTACACTCCTTATTGACTTTGTAGACTTAAACACAAATGCACACACAATTACAAATGTGTTCAGTAAAGCAAAACTACAATAACAACAGCATCAGCAACCAGAAAAAGCATATAAAACAATTCATTCATGGAAGCTGTACAAATCACCAGTTTTAGTTCTTACAATTTTCTGCTTTCAAAAACAATATTTAAAACTACACTGCTCTTACCCCTCTCCGTTTCTTCCTGGCCATTATCTGTGATGTTGTTGTCGGCGAGTTTGAACGAATTAATGAGCCGCTGCTATGTCTGTGAAAAAAAGAAAAGAAGAGAAAAGTAAAACAAGAGTCAAGAGTGTCAGGGAGTTTGTTGTTCTTACGCTTACCAGATGGAGAAGACTCCGCTTTGTGATCCTCTGCAAGAAGGAGCCATGCAATGCCCTAAATGCAATCCTAACTTAATTATAAGTCATTAGAATCATAATCCGTGTTCCCATTTAGAAGTATAACATGAAAAGTTATGTCATATTATACAGAATAAATGTCCTTTAAAAGAAAAAGTGGCTACAAAATCTCTATTACGGGAGGTCCCCATCTGAATTGATTGTGCTGGTTTATATTTTTTAAACTATTTACTGCATTGGTAATATATACAATTTTTTAAAAAAAGGTTTAAGTGGGCTCTAGGGAAACATGTAAAAAAGACTTTAGTTTGCAAATCTTGTACTTGAAATTCTTTTATATTCCATCTCCGATTATGTGCATTGTTTGAAATCAGAGATGGAATAGAGTAGAGATTTTTAATTCCATATATAGTATATAGGACACACACATATGTATCTATCTATCTATCTATAGACATATGAAAACAGGACCCAAGAACCTGGTGCCATTACCAACTAGATTCACCACTTTGAAAGTCAAAACAAACCTACTATGAGCAACAGTTCTGGGTTTTGTCATTGATACCTGTTGCAAAGAAAGGTACCAACCTGTTGGATAAGTTTAGCTGATTGGCTGATGCACATATCACTCCCTATCCTACCTTCTTCTAATTTATTTACCTACTTGCAGTGGATAGAAGTAGTGCATTTCTACAAAGTTATAACAAATATAATAGTACTACAAAATTAACATTTGAATGATCATTTTCTTTTTCTTGCTGGTCACATTTTATAGTAATACCTACAGGTATTCTCTGTAGAAGACCAATGGATAATATCTGAAGTAGCATCTTTCCAATGAGCAGCCTGTGACAGATAAGGATTGGTTTCCTAGTCTGGATGATATAGATCACAGCAGACTTTGGAAATCCCTCTTGAAATGATTCACAGTTCCTGCCATATGTGATGAGGTGACAGACTGAGATTCATTAACTGTCATTAACAGTATCTGACAAGATATCACAAAAAAAAAAAAAAAATAGGAGCGATCTATTTATAACAGAGCAATCTGATCCAGTGAAATGACAGTTAGACAGTGTCAGAAAATATATTTAATGTTGTGAAAATACTACCCCATATTTTTTGTAATACTTGTGATGGTTAGCAATTCCGCCTGGCAGTACTAGGGTCGTTGGTTTGAATCCCAACCATGGCATCACCTGCCTGATGTTTGCATGTTCTCCCTGTGCCTGTGTGGTTTCCTCAGGGTACTCCGGTTTCCTCCCACCCTCTAAAGACATGCTGGTAGGTTAATTGGATCCTGTCTAAATTTTCCCTAGTATGTGTTTGTATGAATGTGAGTTAGGGACCTTAGATTGTACACCCCTTTAGGGTTAGGGATTGATGTGAATGTACAATATACATGTAAATCGCTGCATTACTTGACAGCGATATATAAGTACCTGTAATAAATAAATAATAATAAATATGTGCGATAACCTAATATATTCCAGAGGACGCACACCCCAAAAGTCGCTTGGATAAACGGGGCTAATAGACTAACACTTTATTCATCTTTGATATCATTGCTACACTTCACTAAAATGACATCTATAGGGTATAAGAAAGGTAAGAAAATTCATAAATCAAAGATGTAACTTCAGTATATACACATATATTATTATTATTATACAGGCTTTATATAGCGCCAACAGTTTGCTCAGCGCTTTACAATATAAAGGCAGACAATACGGCAACAATACAGTTCAATACAAGAGGGTTAGGTTGATTCCTACTGCAGCCAGGACTTTTCTACATTGAGGGAATTGCTAAACTTTCTTGGCAGGACACATGCCCACTCTGCCGTGGTTTATTCCTTATAGATACTGGGGAAAGGATGACATTCTTGTCCCTAACTGCCTGTAAACTGAAAAGGGAGACTAGCAGATAAGCTAGTCAGTGGATGCACAGACACGTCCAACTTCAAGACACAAGAAGTACACACACAAAAGCATCGAAAACTTGTGAAGTTAAAAAAATCGCTTGCTTTTATACACTTTTAGCCATTTAAACAGTACCCTATATTCCACTTGTAATTTGAAAAAAAACAAAAAAACTAAATTCATAATATTTTTTTTTTTGGGGTTACAAATTAAAAATAAATCCTATTTTATTGGCTGTTGCCACTGCATATTATATATATATAGAATTTTTTTGAATACCATAATAAATTAAGCCTTTATTCAACTAACGTTTGCAGAGTGGATATTGATCTACGCACTGGAACATTCAGCTGGACTGAACATCTATTTATTTTGAGTAAAGCTGGTCTGTTTTCATGCAATTATTACCTAATTATTCAACACAGGAGCTGTCCTTAATAAGTTCCTCAGTTGCAAAATATAAGCAGACACCTAAGTAAAATATATTAAATCGCATTCATCTACGAATTCAAAAAGCCACATAGGTTTCCTATATCAGCATAGACACAGGCTGCAGCAATACTATTTACATAATAGTGCAACATACATATATTATATATTAATACTGAGCCATTCAGCTTAGTTCACACTGCTGCGACTTGGGATCCGACTTGTGAGACCCCAAGTCGCATGACATGTGAAATCCCATGTCAGTCAATGAGAGCTGTCTTAATTAGCGACTACTTCAAGGCAGCTTCTATCCAACTTGTGCCCATAGACTTTAATAGAAGTCGCCTCCAAGGCGGATATTCATCTATATTGATGTGATTTGGGTCCGACATTACAGGAGGATTACCCAGGCATTCCCTAAAAGTTGCTTCAGAGTTGCTTCAAAGTAGTACTCAAGTCACCTGGCAAAGTCGCACAACTTTCAGGTAGCAGTAGTGGGAACCGAGACTTAGTGTTTCATTTTGTGAAACTAGGAAGATCCAGTGGATAAATCTAATGGTAGCCAGACATGCTTGGAAAAAATGATGATTTGTATTCCGATTGATCTCTCCCAATAGGGATAAGTGATCCATAGCACACACCTCAGCTGATCAATATGCCATACAGGGAATACGTTTTGAAAGTTGGAAGATAAGATAATTATCACTTACATCTCTGTTCTCACCAAGCAGTTTCATAACCCGATCAATTGAAATATGATCAAATTCATGACCAAAGCAACTCATTCCTGCCAATCAATGCTTATTGATTAATACCCAATCAGCCCTGGATGATTGACTCTGATTGAAGCCGATCTAAATCCATTGAATCCAAACGGATTGGAAGGGAGGTTATGCATATTTGATTGGCTGTGGATTTGATGGTTTTGATTGCATCGCACATCGATCAGATATCAAAAATCAAAGCATGTATGATCACCACTAGGGCTTTATAATCTGACTATACAATCTTTGCCACTTTGGGTTTACCTAACCTATGTAATATGAGGACAACCTTAACCTATCTGAGCCGTCTGTCTCCAATCAAGCATGCTCCTGCACTACGGTTGTAAGAGATTGTACAATCCGGTCCTAACATGTATGGGGAGCTTTAGTATCTTTTCCTTTACACTGTCTTATGCAATAATATTACATCTGGATTTTTTGTGTGTGAATATTAAAGTAGAGAGCATCTTTAAAAGAATGAATATTTCCACAAAAAACTGTTGCGAAGTGCGCAGAGCTGTTTAATAAGCGATCGAGTCAGAATGGCTCTGATCTAAACTTTAGATTTCATTCCATGTCGTACAATGCCCCATAGCGAAGGAACAGCTCCTCTTCCCAGCCCATCCTGGGGGTCCTGATGACAAAAACTTCATCACGTGTCCATGGCAAGTTCCAATACTCACCCAGAGTAATTGTTCTCACTGCCCACATCAATGGTCTCATCCAGATCGCTGTCAGAGCTGGTGTCATCGCACGGTCGCTTCATACTGAGGGTTAATGATTATCCTCCAAAGACAGGACAGTAAAGGCGGCGATGTGTCCAAGTTGCGGGAGGCGATGTACAGTCCAGAGGGCTAGGTGCAGAGTCCAGGCTGGAGGATCAGATGATGGAGATCAATGGGCTCTCTCCGCTCACACTCATCTATTCCCCGATCTACACGGCTTTCCCACGCTGCTGCTGCAGATGTCACTCCGAGCCCGCCCCCTCCCGTCTGCCCCGCCCACCTACCCACTCAGCGCTGCTCTCTGAGCCTCCTCTACAGGGTAGCTGTCACCGCGATGTCCGACCGCTGTCACCGCCGACCAGGGATCGCATCCCTGACCACTGTCATCACCAACTAGAGCGGGACACCATCCAGTCCCACTGCAGGACTCCCAGGGCACAGATCTATACACTATCATACACTAGACAATCTCTATTTAGTGGTGGCATTGGAAGAACATAGAAAGCAGAGCACTGGATAGAACAGCAGTGCCCAATAGAGATACAAGACAGCTTACAGCACCCAAACTTTGTATTTTTACTGAAAGATGCATTCTGATTGGCTGTTGTAAGGCCTCATGTACACTGCTGCTTCGAAACCTGAGTTTAGGGGTTTTTTTTTTTTTTTTTTAAAGCCCAATAAAAGGCTATGGGCTTTATTTAGTAAAGCTGGAGAGTGTAGAATCAGTCCCATTTCTGCATAGAAACCAATCAGCTGCTTGTTCAATCAAGCTTTGGCAATAAAACCTGGAAGCTGATTGGTTTCTAATGCAGAAGAGAGCCTGATTTTGCACACTTTAGCTTTAGTAAATAACCCCCTATGTGTCTGTATATGCATGCGTGCTCCTAAACCCCCTATGTGTCCGTCTACGTCTGCGTGCTCCTAAACCCCCTATGTGTCCGTCTACGTCTGCGTGCTCCTAAACCTCCTATGTGTCCGTGTACGCCTGCGTGCTCCTAAACCCTCTATGTGTCCCTGTACGCCTGCGTGCTCCTAAACCCTCTATGTGTCCCTGTACGCCTGCGTGCTCCTAAACCCCCTATGTGTCTGTGTACGCCTGTGTGCTCCTAAACCCCATATGTGTCCGTATACGCCTGCGTGCTCCTAAACCCCCTATGTGTCCATGTACGCCTGTGTGCTCCTAAACCCCCTATGTGTCCGTGTACGCCTATGCGCTCCTAAACCCCCTATGTGTCCTTGTACGCCTATGTGTCCAAGTAAAATTATGTGCTCCTAAACCCCCTATGTGTCCATGTACGCCTATGCGCTCCTAAACCCCCTATGTGTCTGTATACGCCTGTGTGCTCCTAAACCCCCTATGTGTCCGTGTACGCCTGTGTGCCCCTAAACCTCCTATGTGTCCGTGTACGCCTGTGTGTTCCTAAAACCCCTATGTGTCCATGTACGCCTGTGTGCTCCTAAACCCCCTATGTGTCCATGTACGCCTGTGTGCCCCTAAACCTCCTATGTGTCCGTGTATGCCTGTGTGTTCCTAAAACCCCTATGTGTCCATGTACGCCTGTGTGCTCCTAAACCCCCTATGTGTCCATGTGCTCCTAAACCCCCTATGTATTCATGTACGCCTGTGTGCTCCTAAACTCCCTATGTGTCCGTGTACGCCTGTGTGCTCCTAAACCCCTTATGTGTCTACGTACGCCTGTGTGCTCCTAAACCCCCTATGTGTCTATGTACGCCTGTGTGCTCCTAAACCCCCTATGCATCTATGTACGCCTGTGTGCTCCTAAACCCCCTATGTGTCTATGTATGCCTGTGTGCTCCTAAACCCCCTATGTGTCCATGTACGCCTGTGTGCTCCTAAACCCCCTATGCGTCTATGTACGCCTGTGTACTCCTAAACCTCCTATGTGTCTATGTACGCCTGTGTGCTCCTAAACCCCCTATGTGTCCGTATACGCCTGTGTGCTCCTAAACCCCCTATGTGTCCGTGTACACCTGTGTGCCCCTAAACCTCCTATGTGTCCGTGTACGCCTATGCGCTCCTAAACCCCCTATGTGTCCGTGTACACCTATGCGCTCCTAAACCCCCTATGTGTCCTTGTACGCCTATGTGTACAAGTACAACTATGTGCTCCTAAACTCCCTATGTGTCCATGTACGCCTTTGCGCTCCTAAGCCCCCTATGTGTCCGTATACGCCTATGTGCTCCTAAACCCCCTATGTGTCCGTGTACGCCTATGCGCTCCTAAACCCCCTATGTGTCCATGTATGCCTATATGTCCATGTACACCTATGTGCTCCTAAACCCCCTATGTGTCCATGTACGCCTATGTGTCCATGTACACCTATGTGCTCATAAACCCCCTATGTGTCCATGTACGCCTATGTGTCCATGTTCACCTATGTGCTCCTAAACCCCCTATGTGTCCATGTACGCCTATGTGTCCATGTTCACCTATGTGCTCCTAAACCCCCTATGTGTCCATGTACGCCTATGTGTCCATGTACACCTGTATGCCCCTAAACCCCCTATGTGTCCATATATGCCTGTGTGCTCCCTAACACCCTATGTGTCCATGTACGCCTGTGTGCTCCTAAACCTCCTATGTCCATGTACGCCTGTGTGCTCCTAAACCCTTTATGTTTCCATGTACGCCTATGCGCTCCTAAACCCCCTATGTGTCCGTGTACGCCTGTGTGCCCCTAAACCCCTTATGTGTCCATGTACGCCTATGCGATCCTAAAACCCCTATGTGTCCATGTATGCCTATGCGCTCCTAAACCCCCTATGTGTCCATGTACGCCTATGTGCTGTTAAACCCCCTATGTGTCCGTGTACGCCTATGCTCTCCTAAACCCCCTATGTGTCCATGTACGCCTATGCGCTCCTAAACCCCCTATGTGTCCATGTACGCCTATGTGCTTTTAAACCCCCTATGTGTCCGTGTACGCCTATGCTCTCCTAAACCCCCTATGTGTCCATGTATGCCTATGCGCTCCTAAACCCCCTATGTGTCCATGTACGCCTATGTGCTTTTAAACCCCTTATGTGTCCGTGTACGCCTATGCTCTCCTAAACCCCCTATGTGTCCATGTACGCCTATGCGCTCCTAAACCTCCTATGTGTCCTGTACGCCTGTGTGCCCCTAAACCCCTTATGTGTCCATGTACGCCTATGCGATCCTAAAACCCCTATGTGTCCATGCACTCCTATGTGTCCATGTACACCTATGTGCTCCTAAACCCCCTATGTGTCCATAAATGCCTGTGTGCTCCTAAACCCCCTATGTGTCCATGTATACCTGTGTGCTCCTAAACCTCTTATGTCCATGTACGCCTGTGTGCTTCTAAACCCCCTATGTGTCCATGTATGCCTATGCGCTCCTAAACCCCCTATGTGTCCATGTACGTCTATGCACTCCTAAACCCCCTATGTGTCCATGTACGCCTATGTGCTCCTAAACCCACTACGGTTCTGTGTACGCCTATGCGCTCTTAAACCCCCTACGTGTCCATGTACGCCTATTTGCTCCTAAACCTTCTATGTGTCCATGTACGCCTATGTGTTCCTAAACCTCCTATGTGTCTATGTACACCTATGCGCTCCTAAACCCCCTATGTATCCATGTACACCTATGCCCTCCTAATCCCCAATGTTTCCATGTACACCTATGCCCTCCTAAACCCCCAATGTGTCCATGTACACCTATGCGCTCCTAACCCAGATTGGAGCAGGAGAGTTTAGGGCCAGGTAAACGTTCCTCCTCCTAATCGTGTTCAGGAGAGGAAGGTTTTGGCCAAAAAACACTAAATGCTTATAAAAGCGGCTAAACGCTAGCTACGTTTATCCATGTCAATGGAAAATACTCTGGCCAATCAAATGCATAAACATCTAAACGTGGTACTGCATTTACGTGTGTTTTTGCCGCATTTAGCATAATTTTTTACATAGTATTCTGTTTACAAAGGGGGTGTATCTTGAAAGTAGTGAAAGTAGTGTTAATTTTAGGTAAAAAGTTTTATAAAAGTATCCTTAAGGCTCCATGTACACGAGGACTGCTAAACTCAAGTTTAGGAGCTTTTTGCATTTTTTTGCCAAAGCTCTTAAACTCAACTCCATAAAATCCTATGTGTCCATGTACACATAGGCTTTTAGCAGAGTTTAGGAGCTGCTGCGTTTAGGTGAGGTTTAACCTCCCTCTCCTGAATGCAAGAGAATCGCGTTCAGGATAGGAATGTTTTGACCGCCTACCACGGGGAAACGCAAAATCAAGGTACTGCGGTTGCCGCGTTTTGCTGTGGTTTTGTTGCGATTTGCACTTTCCCACGGCTGGTAGTCATGGTAGGCTCGTGTACATAGAGCTTTAGCATGCTAAAGTATTGTATAGCATAAAAAAATGCCATGATTTTTTCCGTAAATTTACATTTTTCTTTCACGTATATTTTATTGATTTTTCAACAAAAAGTACGTTGAAAGGAAGGTAGTACATACAGAGATAAAATATCAAATACACTGGGTGTAAGTAGGGGAGGACCAAGAAGGTGAAGATAAATGCATTCATTCAACCGTAAGTGCGAGAAACAAGCGTTTGCTGGGGATACACATGTAGTATACTCTGGCTAAATTTAGTTCTTTACTGTAATCAGTGGAGCTAGTTTTGTCTGCTCCTGGTTTCCTAAGCTGGGTGTTTGATTCCTCCTTACTTCCTTTGGAAAAAGCTTCCAGAATATAAGACAGGGAGAATCAAATGACCAGTATGAATATTTTTCATGCCCCAGCCAATCCCTGGAAGAAGACATCCAGAAGCTGGCTGGGGAGATAAATGTTTGGGAGACCTTTCAAGAGTGTTCTTTCCTCTTTAGGGAGGGTTTCAGTTGTCCCGGGGCTGCTGCCCCTGGGAGATAGCTAGTGAGACAAGAAATTGCAGTCTTGAGCAGGTGCTGGGCTGAGGGCCTGGAGAAGACTTCTAAAGGATTATTTGCTAGAGGGCATAATTCTGGAGTCTTGGTCTAGAGAAGGTCCTTTTGTCTTCCTTGTTGGGTT